TAGAGCGCTGTCCTCTATCAGCTGTGGCGCGCCAAAGACCGTGCTCAATGTGGAGCTGAAGAAATGCCCTGGCAATGGTACCCCACTGAGGCTGAGCACGTGGAAAGTGACAGCCAATGGGCGAGGGTCGTAATGCCCTCCCCCGGCTCCTGCTTCAGGAGTCCCCGTTCTCAGGCAGGTTCCTTCAGGTTGGGATGCAAGCGCTCTTTTGGGGTGGCTGGTGTGGGGTGGCTAAGCCAAGTCAGCTCCAGGCAACAAAGAAGCCCGATTCACATCAGAGTGTCACCAAACTCTGCCCTGGGGCCTAATCCATCTCAGTATACTGCTATGCCCACTCACTGAGTCACCCAAAGTCCCCTGTCCATAAAGACTAAAAAACTCTATCTGATTCAAGTCCTTGAGGCCCAAGTCTCCCGTCTTCTCACAGGTTGCTCCTGCAAACCTGTGATGGCTGCTCTGTGATCACACACTAGCTGCCACAGTGACACGCCCTCACCTGTTTCCTTCTGGGAGATGAAAATCCTCCCTAGCATGTATCCAGCAGAGGACCTCGCCTCATGGTCTAGACCAGGCTAGACCAGGGGCCATGAAACGTTCTTTCTACAAAGGCCAGATTCTGTGAAGTATCTCTGCAGTTGTGTGTGTGTGTGTGTGTGTGTGTGTGTGTGTGTGTGCGCGCGCGCGCACACACACACACAACTGCAACTACTCTTACTTTGCAGGTACAGTTTGCCACCCCAGCCTGGAACCCTTGTCACGCATGCCCCACTCTGTACCCTCCTCCAGCAAAGATGGAGTGTACTTAGTAGAGCAGCAAGAAGTCACCTCAAAGCCCTCTCCTACCCAGACGGACAGCCCACTCCACCCCTTGAGTTTTCTTCCCCTGGTATGGGGGGGGGGGGGGTTGTCCCAGACCACACACTGGCTCTCTGCAAGCCACTTTCTTCCAGCCGGACTGAGAGCGCCCTCTAGTGCTCAGAAGGTGCATGCAGGACTAGACCAGCGAGCAAAGTCCCTAAACCAGCAAGGGGCAAAAGGAATATGGCAAAGGAGAGGGCAGAGGTCAAGTGTCACCAACAAGGGCTCTGTTTGGATAGATGATATACTCGCGTCACTACGCTTCACTACAAGGGAAATCCACCCTCTGTAGGTCTCGGGTTTGCCCTCAGAGAACGGGAGAGATGGAGATGCAGCCAGCGCGCCCTCTGCTGGTCACACTCCTCTACAGCAACACTCCCTTCTGCAGTGTGGAGTTACACATTTTATATGCCAAATTTAGTACTTTTTAACTAGGTGAAAAGTCAGGTACCACGTCAAATTTAACTAGTTTTTCTGTATTCATATCCCCAAGAAATTGTGTCACTGTTATTGTTCTGAAACGAATTTCTTGTTACAGATTGTAAGTGGCTCACAGACTGTCCAGGTCAGTTCTGAACTGGGTCTTCACAGACATAGACTCGGGTAAAGAGGGACACGGAACACCCAGAGAGTGGGCCAGAGGGTGAACGTCACCTGCCCCTGACTTACGATGACTGTGAGTTGCTGAAGGTGGGGCTCAGCAGTCAGGAAAAGATCTAGCGGGAGGGATACTTTTCCTAACACATGAAGAGCCCAGGAGCCAGGGTGACTTGAACCAACAACTGCAAAGCTCTGCCCTTGAACTCTGCCACACTCACAGCCAGAGCCACCATTTCAGTAATCACTACCTTGGGTCCTGGCCACAAGGTTCCACATTCGCGTAGCTCTGTGAGAGGCTATGGCCCTGACGTAAGCCCTGTCAGCTCAGGAGCTGAAACAGAACATCACAAACTAAGGTCTGGCCAGCCACTGTCTTGAGGTTGGATGTCCTTGCTCTCTCAGAGAGCCAGCTTACTATCGTGTCCTGGTGAGGTCTCTTTCCCAAGTTGAGTTTCTCTTTGTGCCCTGCCCCTCAGGTCTGAAGGCTGCTGGTTGGTTCTCAGATCTTTTCTTACTATGAGAGCCTGTAATGGTTAACTTTGTCAATGTGACGCAACTTAGAAAGACCAGGGAGAGAGTCTTAACAAGAGATTATCCAAAACAAGTTGATTGTGGGGGAGGGGAGTCTTAATTAAATTGACTGATATAGGCAGACCCAGCCCACTGTGGGAGTCACCATTCCCTAGGCAAAGGATCCTGAACTGTACAAGAGTATAGAAATTGAGCTGAGCACCAGCAAGGAAAGGGACAGACATTCACTTTCTCCTGCATCTGACGTGAACGTGATGTGAACAGGTGTCCCGCATTCCTGCTGCGTTGATGTCTCTGGAATGGATTGACAGCCTGGAATCATGAGTGAGAACAGATTCCTCTCTCCTGCATTGCTGGCAATGCTACCGTGATCACCTGGCCATCCTGAATCAGTCCCAGGAGCCTCTAGAGGCCTCCAAGTGCCTAGTCTTTGGAAACTAGGACCTCCAGCCTCACCCAGCATTGCCAGGAGCTATCCAGGCTGGTCCTTAGCAACTTATCTCTCATCCATGGCCACCATGGGTCCTCTTTCTTTCACACTGCTTTGACTCAGACATAGGGTACCCCATGGACTCATGAGTCAGAGGTTCTGTCCTCCGTGTGGTGATGGTGAGAGATGATGGAGCATTCTGAAGGTGGAGGAGCGGTGGGAGGAGGTTGGGTCACTGAGGGCATGCCCTCGGAGGGATTAAACTGGTTCTTCCTCATCAGAGCATTGCTGTAGAAGGAACCCTGGCCTTCTCTTCACCTAGACTTCCTGTCCTGCGCTAATACTTCTCTCTTGTCTGCTCACAATGCCACGCTCCAGGTCCCTCACTAGATAGGAGCTGAGCCGACCCATTCTGATTGGACTTTCAATCTCCAAAACTGTGAAATAATTAAACCTCTTTTCTCACTAAGTACCTCAGCTCAGCCATATCATATTGCATCATCTCAACAGAAAACAGACCGATGTGTCTTGCTAGATTTTGCCAGTCAGATGTGTGGGAAATTCATTCATCACTGCCTTAATTTGTGTTTCCTTTATTCTATCACTGAGAACATAAGGCTCAGGTGTTGTTCGTGTTGGTTTTACCCCTATGAATTGCCCCAGAATGAAGAAAATAAGCTTCCCTCTGCCAAAGCTGAGGCAGAACGCCTGATGGGCAGCAGATGAGAACCACAGGTCAGCCTGCTGTTGGGGAGAGGTGAGTCTCTCCTTGTAACAGTCACCCCCAAAAGACTCTGAGCCCAATGAGGCTGTGCTAATTTGGCCAAGCTCAAACAGAACTATGCTTGTTAGAGTCCCGTCAGTCAAGTCCAATGTTATGGCTCCCTCCCTCTTCTTGGCAAAAGCCTAGATCCAGAAGTTGAGGCCTCCTGGCTGCCAGAGGTTTAGAAGAGGGGTCAAGTTCACGCAAACCAAAAATCAGAAATCCATTCTCTTGCCATGATTGCTGGGCCAGCATAAAACGGGACTCTGGAAAAATCCAAAGGCACAGAAATAAAAGTGCTCCCCATGTGCAGTGTGGGATAGCAACCAAAAAAAAAAAAAATTCTGAATGTAGCAGAATGTCCTGAGTCACAGATGACCAAATAGAGTGGTCTAAATCAAAGCTTACAATCATTTTAAAGTCTCCCGAGAAATAGTGACACTAGATTAAGTCTATAGATATAAATCTCCTGGAAATGGTCTCCAAAGTCACCCGTAATTACATTCCAGTACCATGAGAGGAGAGCCATGAAGGAGCCTTAACAGTAAGGAATTACTTGACAGGCTCCAAAAAAGATGCTTCTTCAGGGGAGGGTTAGACAAGATTCTGATGAAAGGGCAGACCTCAGCCACCCCAGACTCACTGCATCTGGACTTCCAGCCAGCAAGACAGGGGTCACTGTGAAGTCCCAAGGGGGTGCCTATATAGGCTAAAGGGTACGAACCAGGGCCATGGGGATTGAGGCAGGGATGAGAGGCATGTAGAGTTAAGAGAAATGGCAAGTTACAACCAAGTTCAGTGCATATAAGAATGACCTTGTTTGGGGTGCATGCGTGAGTGGGGGCGGGGGGTTACTAGCCTAGGAACTCCAAGGTACCAGCCATTGTGCCTGCATCATGACTTCTCAACCTCAGTGTACCTCTGTTTGAGACCAGAAGATTCTTTAGGGTCAGGGCTCTCTTCTGCACTAGAGGATGTTCGGAAGTGTCCCTGGTCTCTACCACTAGGTGACAGCAGCTCCCATATTGAGAGCAGCTAAACATGTCTGCAGATATCACCATAAGTTCTCTGGGGGCCAAGACCCCACTCTGAGAACCAGTGTTCTACAAGGAAGGTGTTCTAAACATCTTTTGTTTTTAGAATGTGTGCCTGTCAACAAGCAACCCACTTGGACACAACTGTGTCCACCGGAATTTTTCAGTCAGTGCACTCACTTTATTAAAGTCTCAAAATAGTTCTGCAAACTTACCTCATTCCAGTGTCAATATTCCTAAGGAGACTTTTAAATGCTTACAAGCTTTGACTGTGGCTTCTTGATGTTACAAATGGATGTCCCTTGCAATCCATAAGGGGCCAGACCCAGGGACCCATGTGGCTACCAGAACCTTTGGATGCTCAAGTCCCTTAGCAACAGGGTGGTGTGTGTCTCTTTTTGTAAGCTTCAGATCGTCTCTGGGTCATTTAAAATACCTAATAAGGGTCTGGAGATATGGCTCACTCAGTTGGACCATGAGGCCCAGAGTTCACTTCCTCAGAACTGCGTAAAACCAGACATGGCAGTGCATGCCTATAAAAGCCTGTAACCTAAACCTGCCACTTGGGAGGTGGGAACAAGAGGATCAGGAGTCAAAGGTCATCCTTGGCTAGAGAGCAAGCTTGAGAAAAGCCTCGCTAAGATATAAGATCTTGTCTCAAAACACATGTACACACAAACCTTAACCCAAGGTAAAGGCCACATCAATGGCTGCTAGATTATACTGGTTAGAGGCAAAGGACAAGAAAAAACTGTAAGAGGCGATTTCTTTTCTACAGCTTTATTTTATTTTTATCTGGCGGGGGAGTACACTCTTGCATGTGAGTGCAGGTACCCTCAGAGAACAGAAAAGGAGGTCATCTCCTCTGGAGCTAGAAGTCTAGGCAGCTGTAAGCCAATTGATATCATGCTTAGAACCAAACTTTGGTCCTCTTTGAGAGCAGCAAGCCATCATCCTGGCCCAAAGACCCAATTCTTAGAAGCATTTTCTATGCAAAGTTGGCTGACAACTTTAAATAAAAGAAATGTTTTACAGACATGGTTGATTCTTTGCAGGGCCACTTAGGAAGGCAAAATTGTGAGCACTAAAAGGAACGGAGGCAAAGGACGTTGATTGTGGAGCATTCATTTGGTAAACAGACAACAGCAAAGAGACGTTTGCCAGGAGTTGATGACCATGTAGGGAAAGCTGTCGTCATATTGTCAAGCAGGAAAGCATGAGGATAAATTAGAAATGTCAGGTTATCACTAGTGGTACAACAATAAAAAAAAAAGATTCTACACACCACGACAGCTAAAAGATACGCCACAATGTCCAAAGTAACTGTTAGCAATGCAACGTGGGTAATTTTGCCCGTCTCCTTGTCCAAAGTGTGCAGATTTTCTACATAATAAACTAGAGGTAAGTGTAGCAAAACAGAAAACAGCAATGTTTATCTTTTAATACTTAGAAATGATCACGCGTAAAAATTAACCAAAATTTTAGGTAATGCCATGTGTTTGCATTAATCTAGATACATGTTCCCATGCAGTTGACTAAAAGCAATTTTGTGATGCCTCCAACCTCTGATGGTATCCACACACGTGTGTGCATACCTGCCCACACACATACATGTGATTAAAAATAAGCTTAAAAGATTTTGAAAAAGTAATTTTGGCCAAAATTAAGCCAGCTCAAAAAATAAACTATAAACTAAAATGCATTTGTTTCTAAACTTAGTAGCCCTGAGAGAAAAAAAATTAAATTGATTGCTACACAGATGGTCAGAAAAAAGTTGTATGCAGTCACATAAATAACAGACAGGAAATGTATGCTCTGAAAACCCCATCGTTTTTTCCCCAAACTTGGATCATCTTCTTCTAAAACACAGGTTCTCGGCCATGGAGCACAAATCATTTCGGATCTGATTGGAATCGGCTGACCCGGGGCAGGCTCCAGCCTCCTCCTCCAGTTGATTTAACGTTCACTCGTTCATTCTCAGCCAGGGCAAGGGCACCTCTAGACGCAGTCAAGGAGACAAAAGGCATCCTTCCCGCTTTTGTCAGACAGTGTTTGCTCAGCCCGGCCCTTCCCAGGTGGCTGCAGAGCCCCTTGTTCCCGTGTCCCTTCTCCTTTCATGAGGAGGCAGGCTAGATCTTACAATAGACCTCAAAGAGGGCAGCAGCTGCGTGCATCCGGTAGAAAATAGAGAAGGGCATGGCCAGGTTGACCACGATTATCCAGGGTTCAAAGCCGAAGACGATTTCCTCTAATCCGTTGTCATACTCAGGGCGGCAGCCAAAGGCAGGGGGGATCCAAAGCTGAAAGAGAAGAGGCAGACTTCCATCACAGTTGGTTTCGCCATGAATGCTGCCAAGAGATGCAACCTTCTGCCACAGATACACTGACAATGCCCCCAAGATACATTGTCCCTGGCCTGGTCCCTAGCTGGCATGAACCATTACAAGGCAAGAAACAAAAGAAATAGGTAGCTAACAGATGTGTCTTGCCCACAGTCTTGCCCTCTCTTTACTTTGTTGCTGTGAAGTAAACCTCTCTCCTCTGCACTTCCACCATGATACGTTGCCTGAAAGCAACCATGGACTGAAACCTTCAAAATCACCCCTTTCCTGGCTGAAGCTGTGTGTTGCAAGCGTTCTGTCACCGTGCCGAAAGACTGACTCTGTGGTCACAGGATTTCAGCACATCTGGGGTCCCCACTCGAATCCCAGGCACCATGGATGCTGACCTAGACTCACACAGCTAGAGTCACCATGGCCGGGGTGACTGTAAAGCATTCCTCATCTCCATGGAAACCAACAAATCTGTGAGCCTCCCCTGAAGGCCCTCCACCCCCTCACCTTGCACTCAGACACAAGTTGTAACTTAACTCTCTCTAGAGGGCGCTGATGAGAGGAGGAAAAAAATCAAAGGACGTCAACAAAACTTAACATAATAAACGGTTGCTCTTGTCTCTCATAGAACCTACTGTCCCCACATCTTTCTCTGTCTCTTCCCCTCTTCCTTCCCACTGACCACTCTCTAGGTTGTCAGGGCCACCCATGGCCCTGGGCCCCTTCTGTTACTTATTGCATGTGTCTATCTCTCTGCTAGGGCAGGCTCTCCCTAGCTGGGCTGACCTAGGAAGAATCTACATAGCAAAGGACAGAGGGTGATTCCAGGCCAGAAATTGCAAAGAACATTGGCCCAACAATCCACAAAGGGACTGGGTCCAAATCCCCAAAGAGAAGTCTTGCTGCCAACAGCCTACAGCCAAGCTGGGATCACGAGCTGGCACTCCATTGTTGTGGGTTCAACACCTGAAGAACTTTCATGATAAATCCCTACGGTTTTAAGTTGCTATGTTTGAGGTTAGTTCTTAGGTGGCAGCAAGTGACTAATACACACTGCCTTTTGTCTCTATCCTTGCAGAGCTCTCGCTGGTGGATATCGTGTTCCATTTTCCTTCTCTGGCTTCTTGGGCTTCTCCCTTCCATCTCAGACCTCTTCCTGTCAACAGTTTCCTCTTCTAGCTCCTCATTTGCTCAGACTCATGAGTCCCCTTCCCTTTTCCGCGTATATGCCTCCTAGGGCGGTCACCTCAACCTTGGTCATAAACACCATCTGGAGGCCCTGGGCTTCCACCTAAACCCCCCATGTGAGCCACTCTTGGAACCCCAACACGTATTTCCACTAGCCACTTGAGTGTTTGGAGCACATCCCAGACGCACCCTGCCTTTCCTGTCTCTCCCTTATCAACAGCCCCTTCCTCCCAGATGCTTGCTCCAAGCTCCCAGTGTCATCTGTGTTCCCCCTCAGTCTCTCTCACATCACTCTACCACCCTAGCCACAGTGAGATGCCCCCAGTCCTTCTGAGAACCTCCACCTCCACCCACCCGGGCCATCCCTCCACTAGGGTTGTGCAGTAGCCTCCTCCACCCTATCCCAGCAGTTAATTTCCACTAATTTGCAAGAGAGGCTTTCTTATTTTTATCCGAGTGCCTGTGCCTTATTGAGAAAAGTTAGGGAATATTGGTTGATTTGAATATCTAGGACTAGGGATATGGTCGATGAGAAAGTGCCTGTTGGGCAAGCATGAGGCCCACATAGAAAGCCTGTCTGGGAGGCACTGGTGCCTGCAACTCTAAACTGAGGTTCTGTGGTGGAGACAGGGGGTTCCCTGGAACTCATTGGCCAGCTAGTCTAACCAGCTAATAGCACAGGATTCCGTGAGGGATTCTGGCTCACAAAACAAGGGTAGATAATTGTTTGAGGAAGACATCTCAACATCAGTTTCTAGTCTCCACACACTTGTGCACACCAGGGAGAGGGAGAGGGAGAGGGAGAACAGTTTGCTGAAGATTACCGAGATGTTGCAAAGGAACAGAAAGGCTGTGATGTTTCTGAGGATCCTCCTCTTGACTCCACCCTGCAGGAAGTCTGGACATCGGGCTGTGCCTGCAGCCCCTTCCCAGCCAGCCTCCTGGTCCTCTTTATGATGTCCCTGCTGCAGACGCAGATTTCCATTGACCGCAGGTGATCCATCCCGAGACGACCCCTGGCTCCCGAGGCTGGATGCAGCCAGCACAGCGGCTTCACCACTGCAGACGGTGACCACACGCAGAGTGCGCACATCCTCGGGGATGCCCTCGGGCTCGCGGTGCACCGACTCGATGATGAAAAGGTTCTGGACATACTTCTCCACGATCACCAAGACAGAGTAGGGCAAATTGTACCAGGTGTATGGCGGACGGGTCTCAGCACAAGCGATGGCCAAAATGGAGCCCCAAGAGAGGAGCCATGAGCCTGAGGCTGTGGCCACCAAGAGGTCGGCATCCAGCTTACGTGCAGGGTTTTTGGACTCATCCAGAGATTTCTCATCCACCCTGTAAATCCAGGTTCCTACCAGCCCAGCAGCCCCCATGAGCAGCAGCACCGTGATAGCATACAAGTAGAACAAGATGAGCGCCGACTCGCTCTTGGACTTGGAGCGTCCGATATGGATCATGTACACCACAACCACGGTGATGGTGGCAGCCAGCACTGTCAGGCCCAGAACCGAGCCCACCAGGACCCCATCGAATCTGCACTGCATCTTCTGGTGCCGGGAGTTGTCCACCCGACGCCCAATGTTCTTCCAGAGCACATAGAGCATGGTGGAGGCCAGGATCTGGTACTCGATGTTGAAGGGGTACAGATAGTAGATTCCATGGGAGAGGGCAGAGCAGAGCGCTGGGGGCGTGCAGTTACACTGTGGTGTATGGTCATCCAAAACTAGGGTGGTAGGCAGAGGACAGGAAACAACCATCAGCACAGGCAACAAGAAGACTAGCAAACCCATCAGCCTGAACCTCGCCACTAGACCCAAAGTGCACTTGAGCCGTATTTAGCATTATGTTTAATGCCATGGCTTCCTAGAAAAAGAAGTTAGGGTTCACCTCCAGAATGGCATCAGCCGTGTTCTATCTGTATGTTAGCATATAGTGACACTATTATAAGTAGCAGTGTAGAGATTTACTAATGACCACATTAGGTGGTCCAGAGCTACCATTGAACTTCAAAAGCAGACAGCTGAGGAGGGCTGAGACTGTGGCAGCACCTGTGTAAGAGAGAGGGGCAACAGTGATTGATAGGTTGATTCATAAACAGGAAAGATCCAGAAGTATATAAGCCAGAACGGTAGTGGCAATTCTCTCTGGTGGCAAGAGGCAGGTGTTTATTTTTTTTTCTAGATCTTGCTTCCCTATGGTATCTAATTTTCTCTGTAAATATGGTGTGTGTGTGTGTGTGTGTGTGTGTGTGTGTGTGTGTGTGTGTGTGTGTTTAGACTATGTTTTTCAAGGCTCTGTAGGAAATGACCCTTCTGAAAAATACCCGGTGGAAAAAGCTCTAACCTAAACGCCCCTAAAACGGTATGAGATGGTCAGGGGCTTTCCTTCTCTTTCTGACTGTGCAACCCCAGACACATCACTTTTCGGTGGCACAGCGTCTCTACCCATTACTAGTTAATACTGCTCACCTCAGAGGAAGGCCAGGCCATTGTTAAGGAACCTTGTAAAATACTTAGAACCCTGCCTGGTAGTCAACATGAGCCTAATAAAAGCCAGGAAATAGCTAATAAAAGTTTGCTTCTATTATGAAACTGTCACTGCTGTGGCTGCTATTGTTACCAAGAGGGAGTGAGGCCAAAGATAGGGAGCCCTTCCCACAGAGGATTGTAGGAGTTACTCATGTAGCCTGACATAGCCACATATCGACCCAGCCCGCTCACAGAAGGCTGCAGCCAGAAGGGTCTTTGAAAGCATCGAGTTTTCGAGTCTCCTTACTTTACAAAGAGAAAAGGCAGGCCCAGAGAGGTTGAATAGACTCCAAAGGCCACACAGCAAGCACCTGATGAAAACAAGACCCCAACTCAAGTTCTCCACTTCCCAGTAGAGCGCTGTGCTCCACCCTGCCTTCTTCTGGGTCCAGATGTTCTCAGACAGATGTGGTGAGGCCATATATGCTCAAGAACTCCAGCAGAAGATGTGAGGGTTAACCCCCACCCCAGACTGTCTCCCCAGCAGAACAAGAGAATAATAAAGATGAGCCCTAAATAATGAGCCAACTGAAGTCAGCTAGAAACCTTCCCATGTACAAAGGCATATTGAGAACTCCCCAGTGCGCACAGGCCAACCTCTCAGAAGAAAGATTTTTGCTGAAAGGCTCCTAATTAAAACGCTAACAGAGAAAACCACCAATCTTCCACAGTGGGAAAAAAAAAAAGGCACAGAGTTCTCCAGCCAATGGACTGCTAGAGACCCACCCAAATGATAACCCTGGGCCGCCACATGAGGTGAAACCTATAATTACTGCCTTGGGGAGGCAGAATGAAGGCCTGTGGGCTTAGAGAAACAGTCCACAGTAGGGTCTATCAGCCCAGGTGGCTCCCTAGGGACCTGATGGTCAAGCAGGGGAAAGGCTTCCTCACCTATGGTGATGTTGCCGAAGCCCAGCGTGATAAGCCGCTCCTTGTGCTCGTTCAGTTGGTGCTTTGACTCATTCAGGACGCTGTTGGCCCACAACAGCAAGTTCGTGAACACAGAGTGGATCACCCCGAACCTGGAAAGCACAAGTATCAGACACCTTCTCCTGAGAGGCCCTGAGAAAGTGCCGAGCCCGTGGCTAGGACGGAGCCATCCCAAGCATGTATGCACACACACAATTTCCCTCCCTCAGTTGTTGGTCCAGCTGACTAAGAGTCAGCATCTGGGCATTCTGCCTTCACCTTGAACTTGCCCGTCTTCAACTCATCTGTAGGACATCAAAGACACTGCATCTTGGGAGCAGAGATATGGGGAAGAAATTTTACTAAAGGCAAACAACCACACCCAGAGCCTACTCTTCCTCCAAAGGGGAAACAAAGAAAGAACAGCGAAGGAGATGGAAGGGCCCGTTAGACTGTGGAGAGCAGGTGCACCCTCACTGGTGACTGACCAACCCATAAATCATCGCCGTCCATTCCCTCTGCTTTCCATCCTGCCAATAAAACACAGTCTGCACACACTAGCTCATGGCTTCCTTTGCAGCTGGTCTTGACCAGTCTGGCTGGGGCATGTAATGTATAATCTACAGTGAATTGCTGAAAAGCTTTTGCTTACTTGATGCTATAAGAATCGGAAAAGCCTGTTTATGGACCCCTTTTCCTTTCAACATTGTCTCCTTTAACAGTCTCGAGTGAGGGCACGAAGGCTAAGGTTGCAGCCATCATCTCTCTTGTAAGCAGGAGTCAACCAGCATGAGCTGAAGCCCCAGTACACTGAGGATGGCAGAGGATGTACACAGACGTGGCCTACTCCAGATGACGCCTTGGGCTTCTAAAGTCTCAGCTAGGCTCAGGAATTCTTCCACTGTCACACCTAGAATAAGTGGCCATGCTGGAATAGTGGAAAGAGAATCTTAGCCTCTAAACCACACTGTGACCTCCTCAGGAAGAAGGCACATGTGAGGGTGAACTCTGGACCCTGGGTCACAGAAGAGAAATGGGAAGGACACACGGTCTCCATGTGTTTCGTCCTGCTGTGAATTCCCTACACCCTACTGCAGCTGTATTCACTTAGGGTAGCTTCTAGGCCCTCTGCAGGTATCTAGGAGACGCATCCCACAATAGACTGAGAAGCCAAGCCTAAAGGCAGCTGTGGGTACTCCCATGCCTTACCCAGAAGCAGCCAGCCCTGTGTGCTTCCCTGTCCAGCTCAAAGACCACCTGTCCATGATTGACTTATGGGAAAACAGGAACATCTTTGTCCTGGCCCTCCCTGCCTCTTCCCTGAGTGTCTGCCTCAGCTGAGCCCAGGCATCCCAAGAGTCAGGGCAAGTAGCACCTTCCTGTATGATATGGCCAGCTTGGCATCTGCCCAGCTACCAGAACTAATGCAGAGAGAAACCCAGACAACACGGGTGTCTGTCCATTGGCCTGGCCCTGCACCCGCCCTGTTGCTCCAACTCACAGCCCGCTTTCTCTATCCAGCCTTTGACAGCCCTGACAATGCCGTTACCTCTGGCAGGTGGCTTTCTTTTTATTACAGTGCACACAGCTGCCATTCTGTTTCCCCTTTCCCTAGTCCATGCAGTAGTATCCAATTCTGAGCCTGCCAAACCCACAGAAGCAGTATAAGGTCACCAAGGATCACACTGTTTGGCCATGCACCACCCTGAGAACCATAGCCTTCCAAGACCAATTTGAAACAAGTCCTTCAAGCTGAGGGCAAGTGTCATGGCCCCATGTCTGAGGCCCTGCCAACACTCAGTGCCTGTATACCCAGACCACAGTAACAGAATGCATCCCAGGAGTTGTTCCTGGTATCCGTCTGTGCTTCCTAAGATGTGTGAAGAACCATGGTACCTCCCAACTGTGGGTCTGGAGAAAGGAGATGGGTGGAATCCCCAAAGGAGCATTTCCTACCTGGGAGAAACCTTCCAGAAGGCACTGACAGAGGGGGTGGCAGGATGGAGGCATTCATACAGCTCATGCAAGAAGCTAGCAAGGTCATAAGCCCACAGGACCCAGCCAGAGCTGCCAGCATAGTAACTGGAAGCTGTGTGAACTGTCCTCAGTGAGGCCAGCCCTCCCTAGAGGAGCACCCTAGATTCAGTTGTAGCCTCTGTCATGACCCATGCTTGAGACTACCTCATCTTCACCTTTTTCTAAAGAAGTTGACTTCTGAAATCTAAGAATGGTAGACAAAGTGTTTGCCATCTTGCTCAACAGACAAGAAAGCATACCTTTGCACTGAAGTGGGTAGAGACCAGATGTGATAGTGGCCATGGAAGCCTTTGCCTAGGCTGGTCTCAATCTCAGTATCCCTACAGAGCCAAAAATGGCCTTTGACCTCCTGGCTCTGCTGGCTCCGATTTCTGAGTCTGGGGCTATAGACAAGAGCCACCATGCTTGGTTTATTCGGTGCTAGGGATTGAGCCCGTGACCATGCATGCTAGACAAGCCCTGTACCAACTGCGCCACCTCCCCCAGTCCTAAGAGTTACCAGTGGTGGCTTCTGGGGCTCCTGGATCTTGGTGACTACCCCTTCCCTCGGGGGAACCAGGTAATCATACTTCAGCTCTTCCTCACCTTGCTCTGGAGGTGGGGCTTCTGGTGTTCCTGACACCAAGGATAGATGTCACTGGCAAGCCACTGCCTGGACCATGTGATGGATACACACTCCAGGGTGCTTCTCACACAGCCAAAGACACCTCTGAATCATCAACACCCGCCCCACAGCACCAGGCCACTAGCCCTGTACAACAAGAGGCACAAGGATGCACTTAGCAGTAGACTCAGTCTCTACAGCTGCAGCCCATTGAAGCCATTCTACCGAGGGGTCACAGGTCAGCCAATCTTCTCAAAGCCAGCGGTCATCTCAAATGCTGGAGGGGAAAGTTGATTCTGCGACGGAAGTGGGGTACAATACTAGATCTTTTCATAGAGCAGGTGCTCATTCCTCGATCTACCCATGTTTAACCTGCCCTTGAAGAGTTCACCTCTTCCTTCTGGCCATTCTTCCCTTGACCACATCAAAAGCAGGAAGAGCTGGAGGCAGGCCCCACACTCAGTAGACACACGTTCTCCTCAGAGGTAGGCCACCTCACTGCTCCCCACCTCACAGACGAGTAAACTGCGGGAGGTGAAAGGGAAGTAGGTGGTGACCGCAGAGTTCGCTCCCATATCCTTGTCTTCCAGGACTGGCCTGGAAGGAACCGGATGTTCTGCAAGAGCTTTGCTTCCAGGGTGGAACAGGAATCTGCTCTCAGGGTTTAGAGCCCCAGATGGGTGCCAGTCCTGAGTCTGGTTTCCCCTAGCGTTTAATCTAAAGAAATATCAACCAACGAGTAAAGCAATTGCTCACAGTTTTTACCTTTCCAGTGTTTTGAAAGACAGGATAATATCCTTAGCATGGCCCCAAAGAAAATAGACCTAGACAGAAATAAAGGAGAACACATTAGCGGGGACACTGCCATTCTGCTTGCGCACTTGAGAAGTTATAAAACTGAGACAAAGCAGATGATTCCCCTTGGCAGAGTCATTCTACAGTAGGAATAGTGACGCCGTGAGCAGCCAGATGGGGCCTCCCGAGTCAGGCAGAAGGGGTGCTGCAACTAATTAAGAATGTCTGTATTTGACTAAAGGCGTCTCCTTAGAGAAGGTAGGGTTAGAACCACTTGATGATATCTGCTGTGGATGGAGCTGTGCTGCAATCGATTGAGGATGTCTGCCCTGGGATAGGCATGTCGCCTCCAAGGGTACAGATAGTCATGAAGACAAAACATTCATGCACATAGAATAAAAATAAGCTTTTAAGTAAACAAGCTAGAAAGGACAAGACAGTAAGAACTGTCCCTCCATGGTCTCTGCCTCCAGGTTCTTTCCTTGAGTTCCTGCCCTGCCCTTCTTCAAAGATGGACTATAACCTGTAAGTCGAATAAGCCCTGCCCCCAAGTTGTTTTGGGTCAGTATTTTTTCACAGCAGCAGAGACGCTGACTAGAACAGATGGCTCCTAAAGAATGTGTACATGACCAGCGGTGGTGGCGCACATCTTTAATCTCAGCACTCAGAAGGCAGAGGCAAGCAGATCTCTGTGAGTTCGAGGCCAGCCTGATCTACAAGAGATAATTCCAGGACAAGCTTCAAAGCTGCAGAGAGACTCTGTCTTGAGAAACAACAACAACAAAAAAAAGAATGTGTACATGCATAACCATGCATATAGACACACACACACAATGTGCACATGCACACACACACACACACACACATGCTCCCCATATGACCAGATGTCTTGCCCTGGCAGACATGATATCTCACCCTACACTGATCAAATACTCTCTTCTATGCTCTGTCACCTGATCCGAACACCAAGCATTACAGGATCAGGTCACAGGATTCTGCAGTGGATGAAGGACTGCCTTTGACCGAGGGTATCTAAAGCAGATGGAGGGTAGCCCTGACTGAGGAGATTATTACAGTAGCATCGAAAGACCAGGGCTCTATTGAGACTCTTTAAGGAAAAGTATTTCCTCCTAGCTATGGGAACAAAACCTCTAGCCTAGGTGGTGACCTAACATTCCAATCGACCCAAAACCTAGGCATGAACCCAGCTGTATCTGTCAATCACCTGGCCAAAGGGTCACCCCTCAGGAAGGTAGATTCACTTTACACTATGTTAAACACATGGGAGGAGACAATGTACTTTTCCTTCCCAGAATCCCACACGCTGTGCGGTCACTAGAACCATATCACTCGGGCTAGGTCAAGTTTACCCATTTCATCTAAATTAACGTTTCTTTTTTTAAGACTCATTTTCCTCCTACTGGCTATTTTTGGGGCTTTGTCACTCTTTCTCTGAAGCTTGCTTCGTTATGAGCTCTCGTCTGCCATGCAGCTGCTTGCTACCCTCCATATCTAACTCAAAAGGCATGGTCTTCTCTCTTGCTCTCCATCGCCCTTCTCCTGGTAGCGGTCCAGACTTGCAGCTTGCTGGAGCTGTTGTTTCTCTTGTAAGCACTAATAAAACTGCCCACAAGCTTCCTGCTGAGTACTTCCTTAATTTATTTTATTAATGAGACTAAGAACCCTGAGAAGGGACCCTATTTTAGTCAGAAATATGTAGCATCCCCAGTGGAACTCCCCAAAATTTCCAGCAACAATATCAGAGGTAGATGAAGGATTAAATTCGACTGGGAATGTCTGCTGTAGGTGAGAAACCACATTTGATTGAGAGTGTCTACTATAGATGGTGTGCACTGGACGGAGGTCGTCTACTCTAGATGGGGTGCACTGGACTGATGATGTCTACTATAGATGGGGTGCACTGGACGGAGGTCGTCTACTCTAGATGGGGTGCACTGGACTGAGGATGTCTACTATAGATGGGGTGCACTGGACGGAGGTTGTCTACTCTAGATGGGGTGCACTGGACTTAGGACATTTACTCTAGATGGGGTGCACTGGACTGAGGACGTCTACTCTAGATGGGGTGCACTGGACTGAGGACGTCTACTATAGATGGGGTGCACTGGACTGAGGACGTCTGCTACAGATGGGGCGCACTCTACTGAGGACGTCTGCTATAGATGGGGCGCACTCTACTGAGGACGTCTGCTATAGATGGGGCGCACTCTACTGAGGACGTCTGCTATAGATGGGGCGCACTCTACTGAGGACGTCTGCTATAGATGGGGCGCACTCTACTGAGGACGTCTGCTATAGAGGGGGTGCACTGGACTGAGGACGTCTACTATAGATGGGGGTCTGTTGGACTGAGGACGTCTGCTATAGATGGGGGTCTGTTGGACTGAGGACGTCTGCTATAGATGGGGGTCTGTTGGACTGAGGACGTCTGCTATAGATGGGGTGCACTGGACTGAGGACGTCTACTCTAGATGGGGCGCACTCTACTGAGGACGTCTGCTATAGATGGGGTGCACTGGACTGAGGACGTCTGCTATAGATGGGGGTCTGTTGGACTGAGGACATCTGCTATAGATGGGGGTCTGTTGGACTGAGGACGTCTGCTATAGATGGGGTGCACTCTACTGAGGACGTCTGCTATAGATGGGGTGCACTCTACTGAGGACGTCTGCTATAGATGGGGGTCTGTTGGACTGAGGGTGTCTCCTGTGGGTGCGACACATTTGATTGAGGCTGTCCATTGTTCTTGGGGACTGCTTTGATTGAGGGTGTCTATTGTGGATGGGGGGAATATAACTGATCAAGCAACCATCACCATGTCCCAGAGTTAAGTTGTCTTAAACTAAGCAAGTCTACAGTCCTGGAGGCTGAATATCCAACTTCAAGATGTCAGCAGAGTTGGTTTCTCCTGGGGCCTCTCTCCCTACCTGTAGATGAAATTCTTTCAACCTGAGACATCACATCATTGTCCTTCTGTGTGTAACTGGGATCTAGCTTGCCTTATAAGGACACAGGATATAGCCCTGCATTGACTTCTTTTCCCTCTGAAAGGCCCAGTCCTCCATTACTGGTACATTCTGAGACACTGAGAATTAGAATTCATACAATGGACAGAACAGGTTTTACCTGCAAGGCAGTGCCCTTCCCCCCTTGTGAGCTCCCAGCCTTTCCCACCAGCCTACCACTGAAGCAAGCTACCCAAGTTCCCCTTCTGCTTTTCCCAGTCAGTCTTGCCTGGAATGATGTGTTAGAAGCATTCCTAATCATCTGAGCTGGCTGCCAAGCCTAAGAAGCTGTGAACTAGAGGTGCCTTTGAGTACAAGATGAGTTCCCTTTCCTGGGGTTTGACACTGTTTCTGGGGGGTGTTGTTAAGGTGAACAGTATCTGAACAGCAAATTTCCTGAACCAAGTTCATAGTCTTCCAGGGTGACTCAGAAGGAGGAATTATCTTTGCTTCTCGTCATGATGTAAGCAAATCTGTGGTCTTCTTGAGCTTCAGTTACTTCCTCAAAAACTGCAAGGCTTAATTCTATCATATGGTAACATGGACAAAGCTGGAGGGCACTGTGCTAAGTGAAATTTTCCAGGAACAGGGAGACAGTCGTGCACGAGCCCACCATGTATGGAATCTCAACGATGAAGACTTGAATACACAGTAGAACAGAGACTGAGTGGGGACAGGCGTGGGACGATGCAGGCAAAGGCCCAAACAGGATGGCTGTCTAGAGAGCTGATGGCCAAGATAAAGGCTACAGCTGGGATATTGTGCTATCTACTGCAGGCTTGCTGGCACTGGCTAAAAGGTGGTCTCACCACTAATAAGACCAAGAAGAAAAACTGGGGCACCAGATAGAGCACTTTCTTGACTATAATCATCTACCATTTGTGCTTATGTGAAAACATCATGCTATTCAGGGTAAATATATAAAATATGGAAGAGAAAAAAGATTGATGATCAAGCATCTTTCTTATGTTAAAATGTTTGCTATTGATCAGCACGCTAACTGTACATAGCTATGCTGTGCAATGCACTTCCCACATGTGCAGTGTGCAATGAGCAATAGAATCATTCTCTCTGTGTTTATGTCTCTGTCTCTGTCTGTGCGTGTGTGCACACACGTGCCCATGCATTTCTGGAAATCAAGAGAAAATTTTGTGGGATTGGTTTTCTCCACCCACCTTTCCCTGGCTCCAGGACCTGGGGTCAGGTCTCCAGGCTTGCACACGAGTGCCTTTAGCTGTTGAGCCCCTTCGCTCATCTCTACACTGAGATCATTCAGGCTCTACTACTTATTTGGAACTCTCCAGTTCATTTCTGCCACCCATCGCTGCCCCTCCCTCCCCTGTGCTGCAGACCAGTAGGAGTCCTGGCTCCTATCCGGCTACCCTCTGGACCCAGCTGCTCTCCTCCCGCCAGCTTTCCCGGGCTCCGATAGTCACTATTCTTTGCTGCGCTTCCACACAATCAAACTTTTGCTGTCCGTGTGAGAGCACAGTGTTTGTCTTTCTATGCCTGGCTAGTTGGGATGTAACTTAGTTGGCAGAGTGCCAGCCTAGCATCCAAGAGGCTTTGTGCTCAATCTCCAGCACTACATAAACAAAAGCATTGACACATGGGCCTATAACCCCAGAGCTTCCGGGTTAAAAGCAGAGAGTTCAACAGCTTCCTGGTCAATTTGAAGTACATGAGATCTGACTTCATATTGGACTGATTTTACTTAATGTAACATCCTCCGGTTCCATTGTGTTGCTGCCTGTGGTGGAATTGCATGATTGCTATGGCCGAATAGTATTCTATTGTGGACACATAGCATCTTCATCCATTCTTCTGTCAATGAACACTGTATTTGTACTTTGCATCAACCGGACCAAATTTCCCGATAGAAACAGCTTAAAGGAGGAAGGCTTGTGCGGGCTTGCCGTTTCATAAGACTTTAAGTCCCACACGGTGCTCATGGTGGACGGAGTGTGTGACAGAGGACTGTCACATCATGTCAGACCAGGAAACAGAGAAAGGAACAGGAACAAGGCCAGACCCAGTGGCTGTGCTTGTAGCCATTAAAATCTCAGCCAACCAAGACCTGCCTTCTAAAGATTCTGAGGCCTCCAAAACTAGTGCTACCAGCTGGGGAGCAAGAACTCAACACTTTGTGTATCCTCAAGTGCTAGAAAGATGCTAGCCATGACTTTCCTTAGCAGAGTAACTCACAGCCACCAAAGAGCCCTGCTCAGGGCAGGCGCTGCCCTGGGGTCTATCTAAGAGTCTCTGCGGTCAGAGGGTATGATTCCTGCTGTGAGCTAGGTTTTTAAAGGGCATCTATCAAACCCTTACTTCTTAAAGAAACCAAGTTCATTGTCCGTGCTGAAAACAAGGACCTCATACTGTTTTAAAAGGTTCCAGCCCACAAGAGGGGAAACAAAAGAGTTCCAGTGTTCCAGAGAAGTGACTGGACCAGCTCATGATTCCTGATGGGAGCCACAGAAACATTCTAGATGTGTTGATGTTATGGGTTTCTGCACACCTCGGGATGCCCTGCACTGGAGCAGAGGCAGCATGCCAACGCACCAGTGGCTCACCTGCAGCAGTGTATGCACAGCATGGGTGACGGGGAACACTCCCTCCGTGGCTGACAAGCACTCGGAAAATCCAATGAAGTAAGCGACTTTCAAGCATCCCAGGATGATGGTGATGAAGGCGAACAGTGTGATGCTACCTAGGCAGGAGAAACACACCTGTGTTAGCATCCACAGTGTCATCCCAAGCAAAGCATGTCAACTCTAGAGCCTGTGGGTGAAAGATGCCAAGACTACACAGGGGGAGACTCAACGCCCATGGGGAAAAGTATGAAACCAGACCTCCCATTATCCTATATGCAAATACTAACTAAAAAATTATTCAAAGACCTAAATATCAAAGCTAAAAGAAGCAAAACTATTAGGGTAAAAAATAGGAGAGAAAGTTTCATGAGATTGGATCAGGGAATGAACTGTATCAAAATGGAAAGGTGTGTGAACCACAGAACACCCGTGACAAAGAAAGAGGGCACTGAAAACGGAGGGGATATCTGAAATGTGGTGGTTTAAATGAACATGTACCCCATAGGCTCCTAGAGTTTGGCACTATTTGGGAGTTGTGGCCTTGTTGGAATGGGTGTGGCCTTATTGGAGGAAGTCTGTCACTGGGGGTGGGCTTTGGGGTTTCAGAAGCCCAAGCCAGGCCCATTGTCACACTCTCTCTCTGCTGCCTGCCAGTCCTGTTGCCTGCCAATCCAGATGTAGACATCTCAGCTATCTCTCCAGGTCTGCCTGCATACCACCATGCTTCCTGCCATGATGATAATGAGCTAAAACTCTAAACTGTAAGCCAGCCCCAGTTAAATGCTTTCCTTTATAAGAGTTGCCATGGTCATGGTGTCTCTTCACAGCAATAAAACTCTTAACTAAGACACCTTTCTACAGCACCATCAACACCTACAGCATATAAAGACACCTGCAGGATGAAACTGGTCAATGGAACTTGAACAGACATTTCTCCAAGGATATATAAAAAAAAGTCACAGATTTCAGGAAAGATGCCCAAAACCACTAAACATTAAGGAGAAGCAAGCCGAGACCAACAGACTATCTTAGTTAGGTTTTCTATTGCTGTGGAGAGACACCATGACCATAGCAACTCCTATAAGGAAAGAAACATTAAATCGGGGTGGCTTACATTTTCAGAGGTTTAGTCCATTATCATCATATGTGACATGGTAGCGTGCAGGCAGACACAGTACTGGAGAAGGAGCTGAATGTCCTATGTCTTGGCTTGCAGACAATAGGAAATGTTCTGAGACACTCGGCAGTATCTTGAGCATATACGAGACCTCAAAGCCAGCCTCCATAGTGACACATTTTCCAAAAAGACCATACCTGCTCCAACAAAGTCGCACCTCCTAAGAGTGCTCCTTTTGGGGTCCATTTTCTTTCAAATCACCGCAAATAAGAAGTCACTCCTGTTAAGACTTGTGCTGTTTTTGTTAAATTTATTTAATGTGTGTGTGTGTGTGTGTGTGTGTGTGTGTGTGTGTGTGTGTGTGTGTGTGTGTGTTCCTGGGTGTGTGAATAGGCACCATATGTTTTCAGTGCCTCCAGAAACCAGAAGAGGGCACCAGATCCCTTGGAACTAGAGATACAGATGGCCATGGTGTCCTGGGAACTAAATCCTGGTCCTCTGCAAGAATGCCAAATGCTCATAGTCCATCCCTAAAACAGGTGCTATCAATAAACATCAAGGGCTGGGTAGATGATACCATTTGGAAGCATTTTCCTGGCAAGCATGAGGATCTGACTTCAGATGCCCAGTACCCACATAAAAACTGGGCATGGCCACCTGTACCTGTAATCCTATAGATGCAGAGATGGGGGATTTAGATAGCAAGATCCCTGGGGCTTGCTGACCAGACGGCCTCGCCTATTTGGTGGAGTAGTGGGCTAGTGATAGGCCCTATCTCAAGAAAGGGGATGGTACCTGAGATGTGACACTAAAGGCATCCTCTGGTCACATGCTTCCACATATGTACAAACTCCCATGCATAAATATAGACACACACACACACACACACACACACACACACACAAAGTAATGTAGGACGCTGATTTCTTCAAACCCAACTGGAAGAGCATCTCTAGCAATCAGAAAAGGTGCCAGGTAAGGGAAAAAGTTAAGCAGGTTTTTTTATACTATTAATGATGACACAAAAAACAGTGCATATAAAGAAGCCTGGCCAGGAATTACAAAACACACTTAGAAGGTGCTGGTCAAATGCAGATCTGAATAAGAAAAGCAGCTGTTCTGAGCTTGTGGGTAGTGTCCAAGCTCCTGGGCCCTCCTGGCATCAGTGGCATGACTCACATGCCCTCTCCCACGCACAGAGGAAATTGGATCACATGTGCTGGGCACTGGGGAACCAAGGTGAGAGCCAGGCAGGAGCGATCACATTACACAGCTGCCAGAGCCACCTCTGGGGAAATGCAATGCAGCAGCCCAGCTCACTCCTACAGCTCAGAGTCCTATAGAAAAGACGAGAAATTGTGTTTTGTTAGTCCTGGCAAGCCCCCAGGGAAATCAGAACCTTTCTAAGAGCGGAGACTCAATCCCAGTGCTTTCAGAGTGGCTGATGAATACAAGGTTCTTTCTGATTTGGAAAATAATAATAAAAGTAATGGGAACAAGACAAAGTGACGCAGCCTGGCTGGGTGGCAAGAGCTGAGTGCTGAGCTAGGGGATTGCTGGGTACCAGACAGGTGTGTGTGTGTGTGTGTGTGTGTGTGTGTGTGTGTGTGTGTTCCTACACGTCATATCCCCAACCCCTAGACCCAATTTCCCCACCTATTAAATAAAGACCATCTGCAGCAGTGGTATACAAACCATGCATCCGAATGCCCTGGAAAGAGCATTGATGACGCTCATACTGCTGTGCTCCATGAGGGTTTCTGATTCTGTAGATCTAATGTAGGGCCCCAGTATCTCTAACAAGCTCCCCATGGGGTCGATGAAATGGTTCTGGGGCTCCAAAGTCATCTAGAGTAACCCCATGATTGACAGTGCGTTTGTTCTGCCAAGAAACTCTCCCTGACCCTCTCATTCCAAAATCCTCCCTTCTGTCCATGCACCCATGCACTCATCTACTGATATAGTCTGGGACTCTTCCTGTCTGGGTTTGGTTGTAGGCTGTGTGTCCCAAGGTCCATGTGCTGGTAGCTCAGCCTTCAGTGTGATGATGGGCAGGGTAGCATCTTTAAAAGGAGAAGGGGGAGAGGATATTATTTTGTCAGGCTGGGGATGTGATGCTCTTGATACAGTGCCTGCCTGGTGTGCAGGAAGCCCTGGGTTCAATCCCCATACCACATAAACGGGGTGTGGTGGTGTGTGGTAATCTTAGCACCCTAAAGGTACAAATGGAGAATCAGAAACGCAAGGTCATCCTTGACCATGCAGCAAGTTCAAGGCCAGCTTGGGATCCAACAAGTCCTCACTCAAAAACAAAATAGGTAAATATTTTTTAAAGAAGTGGAACTTAGTATAAGGTTCCACCCCAGAGCTGAGGACCTACTGGGAGAGGAAGGCTCAGCTTTCTCTAAACGTGTAGTCTCTGATGTCTGTCCTCCAATGGAAGGCCACACATTCAAGAATATTTGGGTAGCACAAATTGGCCTTTGCTGTGGGACAATGGTTTTACCCTGTAAAGATTTGTTTCTTGTACTTGTTTAATAAAATGCTGATTGGCCAGTAGATAGGCAGGAAGTATAGGTGGGGTGACCAGGCAGGAAGTAGAGGCAGAGCAATGAAAACAGGAGAATTCTGGGAAAAGGAAAGATGCAGTCTGCAGTCATGACCCAGCCACAGAGGAAACAAGATGAGAATGCCTCACTGATAAAGGTACCAAGCCACATGGCTAACACAGACAAGAATTGTGAGCTAATATAAGAGTTAATAAGAAGCCTGAGCTTATAGGCCAACCAGTTTATAATTAATGTATTATTTTCATGTATTTCTTTGGGACAAATGACGGTGGGACTAGGTGGGACAGAAACCTCAATCAACAGACCTTGATGGTGGTGGGGGGTGACTACACCAAGTTTGGTGGAAAGGAAGGGAGTTGATCTGAGAAGATGAATAAAGAACATTGTATGACGTTCTCAAAACACTAATACATTTTTTGAAGAGGTGGAGCTTAATGGAAGGTATTTAGATCATTGGAAATGGTCTTTAGGAAATATTAATAAAGTTCTCTAGGATCCCCAGTCTGTTCTCATGAGAACGTGTTTCTGTAGGGAGGCCATCCACACACTTAGCCCTTCCCATATGCCTCTGGCCCACTTTCTGCTCTTCCGTGCTGCTATGACACAGTAAGGGGACCTTGGATCGGATGCCAGCTCCAGGCTGTTTAAATGCTCCAAACATCAGAATCATGAGCCAGATAAACCTGTTTACAGTCGAAAGTACCCAGCCTTGGGTCTTTTACTGCAGCAACACGAAATGGACTAAACTAAGGCACCTGCTCAAGGATGAAGAAAGAGAGTGATGGAGAAACAAAAATACACACTGACAGCAGCATGCAAATTAGGATACTCAGCTGGGCAGTGGTGGCACACACTTTTAATCCCAGCACTCAGGAGGCGGAGGCAGGTGGAGCTCTGTGAGTTCGAGGCCAGCCTGGTCTACAAGAGCTAGTGCCAGGACAGGCATAAAAGCTACAACAAAACCCTGTCTCAAAAAAAAAAAAAAACAAAACCAAGAAAACAAATTAGGATACTGACAGAGAATAGGGTGAGATGCCACTAGGCCTTTCTTGTGCAGCTTGGGAGAACAGAAGACAGTGGAGGTTTCTCCAAAGAGGCCATAGACCTGGCTTCCAGCTGAGGTGTCACCCATTTGCTGGGCCAGAAGAGAGAAAGTTGTTGAGCAGAGACAACATAAAACTGATTCTGCAACAAATTTTTGCACATCAGTTGTGAGTCAGTCACTGTCCTGGGCACTTGAGATATGGAAGTCAGCGGAAGGGGAAAGGAGAACTTCTTATGGAGTTTTTCCACTTTTGGTGCTGCCCACAGGAAGGGAAGTGATTGATACCTGACAGAGAGTGAGCCCTAGCGGGGATGGGGTTGTGAGAGAGGGATAGAGAGTGGGACGCTCGTTCATGGGAGGGGGGGGTAGGAGGTGATGGAGAGT